ACTGAGCCCTCTGTACTGCTGTGTGGACTATTTAGCTATTATATTCCTTCTTGCTGTATAAACCTATATATATATAAAATCATAAGTGTCCTGGTTTTGTTTCTCTAGAGAACCTTGCCTAACACACTGATGAAGATCAAGAATGATAGCCTTCAATATAGATTGAAACTCAATGAAAAGTAAACCCAAATCTTCATAACCGGGCCAAATAGACAACATCGTAATAAACTTATTCTTATGTACTCACCGCCATCAAGTCCATACTGACTCATAGCGACCCTGGAAAACAGAGTAGAAATGCCCCTGTGGGTTTCTGAGACTGTAACTATTTATGGGAGTAGAAAACCCCATCTTTCTCCTGTGGTGTGGCTAGTGGTTTTGAACCGCTGAACTTTTGAGGTCCAAAGCAAAACCACTTAGCCACCAGGGCTCCTCTCACACTTACCAAGTAGGTGCATTTTGTCAAACACTGCACTGAGAGCTTTCCATGCACTAGGTCATTGACTCTTCAGTGCCTCACCTGTAACCTGGTTATAAAGCCTAGTCTAGTACTATTACTACGTCCATGTCACAGGTGAGGTAACTGAGTCTAAAACAGATTAAATAACTTGTCCCTCAGACACTGCTGGAAGAGGTGGCATCACTTGACAGTTTATTCACTAGGATCACACCCTTAACCACCACCCCTATGTCTCTCCTGGCTGGCCTGCCCCCCAGTTTCTGGGTGGGCATCTTTCCTCAGCCATTTGGCCCTGAGCAGACTTCAGGATAAGTTCCCTCACAGCGATAAGCAGGGCCTAAGATCTCTGACAGCTGTTCCGCACTCTTCATCATCATCTGAAACAATCAGTAAGCATTAGAGAGTACTTTTCCCTTTACAAAGGTGATAATTAGATAACAAGCTGAGATTAAAGTAATTACAGTTAGACAGCTGGCGAGGCAGCACAGTCATGTTGAAATATTGTTGGTACTTCAGCATCTGGTTCTAATAACAGCATAGGCTAAAGGATTTTACATTAATTACGGAACATAATTTAATATAAACATATTTAATTACAATTGATGAGCGATAAACTGTTCAAGAATGACTTAACCCTTCACTCATGTCAAAGGGATGGGAACTTGGGGCAGGCTGCAGCCTGTTCAGTTGCCTTCCTCCCCTTCCCCCGACATGCCCTCCACAGCTCCCTGGCCCCCTCTCCTGGAGAAAGCACTCCCCAAAGAAGGAGTGTTCTAGAGGAGAACATCAGTCCTGGACAACAGCGCTGGCCACTCTGAGAAAGGCGGGCGTCAGGGAGGTGAGTGAGCAGGCTGGGCCAAGTCGTTGGCGCATCTCAGGCAGTTGCCCTTGCTCACAGCCCCGGCCAGAGTAATGTCAAAACCGGGCTGGTCTCCTCAGCTGGTCCCCCTCGCCTCTCACACCTCAGCAAGGTGCTGGCTACGCGCTGACAGCTAGTGTATTAACCAACCCGCAGACCCCTTTTCCTAAGAATAGGATAAAGGCCCATCGATCTTCTTTACAAAATCATGACTAGAAAGTCCCTGGTCCAAAAGAATCAAAGTCTTTTAAGCATTTGGGCGTCGTTGGGTAGTACCCGAGGACTTTTACATGGGACAGGACACCTACGGTTCAGGCACCTTCTATCCTGACGTGGTAGCAACCCCATGCCCACCTCTCCAACAGGCGGAAGAAAACCTTCGGTGAAACCGTTGATAACAAATTGGAAGCACAGAGACATCGCCCCTCGCTAAAGGCACAACCACCCCCATCCCTTAGTAAACCACAGAAGTGACAGCGCCTTGGGGTCTCAGCTGCATTCAGGTGCTTCTTCAGGGTCACCCAGAAGGAGGTGCCAGGCGGACTCTTTCTGAGAAAGAATGGGTAGACCTGGAGCAAGTTAGAAATTCACTGTCAAGTTTCAGTATGTGACAAATGTGGAATTACAAACAATCTCAAATACTGCTTTTGCCTCCTGCTGGGGTTTAAAAGTATAAAGCACACACTATACTGAAGGCTATAATGAGCGCTGACAAAGACAGTTTATTATTCAGAAGCAAACAAGTGAAAGCTACTGCTAGAGGAATTGCCGACAGGCATGCAGCAAAGTAGGATTCGTGTGAATAAAGATTCAGGACCACAGGGCTCACAAGAAAGAGCCAGGTTGCTCTCAAAGTGAGAGCTGTCCTGTGCATGTCCTTTGGGAAAAAGGGATCCATTCAAATCCCTTAGCACAGTAAACCTGCAATGTGACCGAGAACGCTGAGGCACTTTTTAGAGATTGAACTCTCCCAGGGACATAGGGAAGATAGGAAGTACCCAATAAGGAAGGTTTTAAGTGTTGTTTGTTTGTTTTCATTCATTAAAATAAACAACATGTGCATCAAAGTCATGGAAAAGAATGTGAAAAGGCCACTATCAGAATATGGGGAAATGCTTACAAATTATACGTAAGATGAGGTTCTAGTCTTCAAGAAACCCAGACAACTCCAACAACTCACCAATAAAAACAAAATCTGTTGCTAGCAGAGCTATTCCTACTCCTATTGATGTTGTTTGGTGCCGTCGAGTTGGCTCAACAGAACAGAACTCTGCCCGGTCGGGGGCATCCTCCCAGTTCTGTTATGTTGGAGTCCATTGAGCCCATAGGGATGCTCTACTGGGTCTCCAAACCTGCACATCTTTATGGAGCAACAATAAAAAGACAGTCCCACTGAAAGTGGGCAAAGGATCCAAGAAGACATTCTTCCAAAGAAGATGGGTGAAAGGCCAATAAGCACAAGAAAAGATGCATCACATCACCAGTCACCAGGGAAATGTGAAGGAAAACCACAGTGAGAGCCCTTCACCCACACTAGGGTGGCTTCATGGAAACACCTGATAATAGTAAGTGTCGGCAGGGATGTGGACAGATTGTAACTCTCATCCATTGCTGGTGGGAATTGAAAACAACATAGTCACTGTGGTAAAGTCTAGCACAGCAGTTCTCAGCCTGAGGGTCGTGCCACCTTTGGGGGTCAAACGACCCTTTCACAGGGGTCACCTGATTTATAACAGGAGCAAAAGTACAGTGATGAAGTAGCAACAAAAATCATTTTATGGTTGGGGGGTCACCACAACATGAGAAACTGTATTAAAGGGTTGCGGCATTAGGAAGGTTGAGAACCACTGGTCTAGCAGTTCCTCAAAAACTTAAGAATGTGATCCAGCAATCCATTCTAGGGATAAGCCTAAAGAAACGGAAAACTTTCTTTCATACAAAATTATCTATATAGATATTCACAGAAGCATTATTCATACTCTCCACACAACAGAAATAATGAACAAACGAAGTGCAGTATATCCATATAATGGAATATTAGACCGGCCAATAAGAGGAAAGGAAGTGTGGCACATGCTACAGCGTGGCTCTATCTTGAAAACTTCATGCTAAGTGAAAGAAACCACACAGGAAAGGCCACATATTATCTGATTCCATGTCTATTGAATGTCCAGAAAAGGCAAATCCATGGAGACAGAAAGTCAATAGTGGTTGTCATAGGGTAGAGGAGGAGGGAGTGAAGAGTAATTGCTAACAGGTTCAAGATTTTTGTGTTGGTGGAGCTGGGAGTGGGGGAAAGGGGTTGATGAAAATGCTCTAGAATGGCTAATGGTTGCACAAAATTGAGGATATACTAAAAGCCACTAAATCGTACATTTCTTAAAATGGTAAATTTAATGTATCTGCATTTTATCTCAACATAGACAAAAAGTTACCAAGCTGGGCAATGAGCTGAATCCTGCCAGCGGGTTCTGGACTCTGGAAGAAACCGATACCTTAGACCTGTCTCACCCAGCAGACTGAGAACCAGGGGTGCTTATAGCATCTACTCCCAGTGGTCCGCATTTAAAAAGCTGCTTCTCCAGGCAAGTAATTCCTCAGCACTTCTGACCTGCCTGTTAAAGGGACTCAGGTAACAGAGAAATTCCTGAGGCAAGGAAATGTGGGTGCCAGTAGACAGTCAAGGCAGCGTGCCCTGAGGGAGCACAGATGAGGGGGCTCAGCCACTGCACTGATGAGCTCCGCTCTCTGAGGTGTCTGGAGATGTCTGTATGAACCCCCTTCCCCGCCCCCCCCCACCCACTGCTACGAAGCTCACAACACATTTGAATAACAATGATAGAAGAAGTAATAGGCTATATCATGTGATCAAACCACCCAGTTAATGCAAGGCGAGGTGAGGATTTGCTCAGTGCTTCCCCAAATGGGCGATATCACCACTGGGTGTTCTAGAATGTTCCAAGGGGGCTGCAAAAGCAGCCACCTACCTTTCACCCTGGATTGTGGGCTATAGTACAAAGGTTTTTAATGCCAGGGGGATGCTGCTAATGTTTTGCTAAAACCGGGGTAGTAGGTCAAACAAGTTTGGGAATTTATATAAACTTCACATGAATCTCTCTATGTAACATGGGGGGAGGGGCTGCCATGAATTAGGGTCAACTCCATGGCAGCTGGTCTCTACATGACACAGTATTTCATAGAGAAGGTTATCCTGACCAAAGATGTGCTGGCCAAGCTAGCAGATATACTCAGCTAGCCATCATGTCCTCGTGGCATTCCGAGGACGTACACAGCATCTTACTGTCTCTCCTTTCCTTTCCCCCCTCTGGAGGGAAAGCAGCGGGTTTTCTCCTTAAAAGGCCTGGAAGGCTGATGCTACTTACTGTCTGCTCGTGTTGCCCAAGGCTTGAACAGTGTGTGTTCTGTTGCGTAGGTGCTGAGTCGAGATGAGATTCAAAACCTACACATTTGCTGCCAATTTAGCATAAAGGATCAAACTATACAAACACTTGAGATTGCAGAGGACACATGAAAACATGGCCCTTACATGTCCATTCTCCTGCTCTTTGGACCCATCTGGCTTTCATGTTCCCAGGATGCCCCTGTCTGAATGAACTCCCCCGGGCAAGAACACGTCAGAAAAGCAAGGTGAGGGTCTGAAGCTGCACAAGGCAGACTTACCTGATCAGGTAGTGGTTGATAATAGTGTCAAAGTAGCTGTAGTACACGACATTGTTCACATGGCCATATTGATCATTGTCCTGCCACCTCGTTTGGATGGGCAAGAAGTACCCATACGCCTCCTGGTGCCGATGGCAATCATCAACTCTCTGCTTCTTTGATGATGTTGTCAAGGAACGGACAGTTCTAGGAAGCAGTGTTGAGACCCAAGAGACCATAGTGGATGGTCACTGCCTTAGAAAGTACCTTCAAGAAAAAAACAGATAAGAGTGGTCCGAAATCTTGGCTTTTACTTGTAGAAAAGCTATCTCATTAAATGTTGGCCACTAATATCAAAAGAAAATCAGGGTGTTTTTCCACCCTAAAAAAATCAATCTCATTTCATAATCCAGGTACTCATGATAATTACGTTTTAAATTATCTCCTTAAAAGTTACCATGAGAAAAGTAAAGTCTCTGTTCAATTTTAACTTCAACCAAAAACCTAGCTCACTGCCATTGATTCCTCCACCCTATCGGCAGAGTCCAACCATCCGCTTGGGTTTCCCAGGCTGCAAATCCTCCCAGGGGCAGACAGCTTTGTTTGTCGGTTCAAACTGCCGCCCTTGAGCCCTGCCGTGGGAAGCAGGGCCCGCTATGCCATCAAGGCTCCTGTAGAATTTGAAGCCTGAGCAAGCATGCTTGTGTGAATGGAAGTCGTTTGTTCTAAAGGTATTTTCAAGATGAGTATTGTTTCTGACAAGATCTGGAACGTGCCAAAAGGCATAAATAGAGGGTTCAGGCTCTCAATCTGAAATAAAATATGGACTAGACACCACTCTAAATCAGGCCTACCAACTCTAAGGGTTTTTTTAAAGCATATTAATTTTTCCTTACAAATTAATATTCCATAGGAAAAAAAGGAAATCTACATTAAACAAAGGGGAGAAATACAATAACTCAACACCCAGATATTAACATTTCCATGTATCGTATATACTCACGTATAAGCCAGCCCGAATATCAGCTGAGGCATCTAATTTTACCATAAAAAATGTGCTGGAAAACTTGGCTTATACATGAGTATATATGGTATATGTTTTCTGGGATTCAAGCTGGTAGACCAGGGTAAATTCAATCTATAAATATGTGACTGGAATAATGCCAGGGTTTTGAACTGGTTCATTCCTGTTCTCACTCCCTGGTGAGAACTTTCATTTCCACCCAGATATACTGAATCCAAATCTACATTTCAACAAGACCCCCAGCTCGTCCTTATGGATGCTCTTGGGCCTCTAACAACCCCCTGGGGATCTTGTTAAAATGTAAATGCTGACTCAGTGAACTGGAGTGGAAACGCACGTTCCCATGAGGGGGTGAGAACAGGAATGAAACAGTTCAAAATCCTGGAATTATTCCAGTGGTGTGTTTATATATTGAATATACCATGGACTATAAGAAGCATGAACAATCTATCTTTGTAAAAGTACAGCCAGAGTCCTGCTAAGAAGGGAGGGGGGTAAGACTTCATCTTATATCCTTTGGACATGTCATCAGGAGGGCAATTCTCTGGAGAGTGACATATTGCTTGGTAAGGGTCAGAGAATAAAGAGGAGGGCCTGACCCTGACCCTGACCCTGATGGATTGACACAGTGGCTGCAGCAATGAGCTCAAGCATTGTAACAATGGAGATGGTGAAAGACTGGCCAGTGCTTTGTCCAGGTGGGCATAGATAGGGTCACTATCAGAACCAATTTGATGGCACTTAACTACAACAACATATTAATGTATCTCTATATACATACTAAATGTAACCATATTGTATATAGTAGGTTGTCCTTGCTTGTATTTAAAAATAGATCATTATTATGGTAAAACATACCTTTACATCATTTGTAATGTTGAATTCCACACTAATCCACTTTATTGACCCACTGCAATTTGTCAAATTCCTGATTGTTGCACATTTTGGATTGTTATTCCAATTCCATTCCAATTTTTATCAATGAATTTTCACATATATCCACAATCATTTTCTTATGATAAATTCCTAGAAGCATAATTGCTAGGTCAAGGGGCAAATGAATTGTTACAGCCTTTGATATACATTAATGCCCTCTAGAAAGATGGTACCAATTTATAGCCTCCCCAGCAGTGTAGGAGCTGGCCAATTTCCCTGTCAATTTTAAAATGCGTTGTCAATTTGACAGTGTTCGCTCATTTCCATACAACTTTAATGAAAGGTGCTAAGTGGAAAGATGACTGCTGCTACCTGATGGAATGACTAGTATCAGAATAACCCCTCTGTTTGAGAACGACGACAAACGCTTCTACAATGTTTGAAGGTATCAAACTATAGTCAAGGCAGCAAGACATCGCACAGCCGCACCTCAGGGATGAGGGTGGCATGCTGAGGTGAGCCTGGCATTTGCCTCTGCAGCTTCGCATCAGGAGATGTGCAGATTCGAAAGATGAGGAATACAGGCTGCAGCGAGAGAGGCAGCCTAGGGCTCCTGGGAGTCTGGCTGTGCTAGACGGAAATTGAAAGGCCATTATCCTAGAAAAGAATGAACTGCAGAGAAGTGAATCTGATAGCACAACTTCCCCCTAAAGGCAATTGCTGACTTAGAAGCTGCGTATAATGATCCGTGGTGGGACAGTGGTAGATTTCTGACCTTCCATGAGGGGGATTTGAATAAGGTGGATCAAAGATGAATCGAGGCATTTGAATTGTGGTGCTAGTGAAGAATACTGACTGTACCATGGGCTGCTGAAAGGACAATCCAATCTGTCTTGGAAAAAGTGAAGGTCAGCCTGCTCCTTAGAGGCAAGGATTACAAGCCTTCATCTTATATACTTTGGACATGTTGTCAGGAGAGATCAGTCCCAAACATCTTGTTTGGTAAAGTGGAGGGGCAACAAAAAAGAGGAAGGCCCTCAGCAAGATGGATTGACACAGTGGCTGCAACAATGGGCTCAGACATGGGGTGGGGGGGGAGAATGTGAGGATGACGCAGGACCGTGAGTGTTTTGTTCTGTTGTGTGTAATAAGGTTGCTATAAATTGGAACCAACTGGAAGGCACCTAAGAACAACTCCTGGCCAATGCACCTCATGCACAGCCGCCCCAGGTCTGTCTGTCAGTGGAGGCTTGGGTGTGGCTATGATGCCAAACAGGTTTCAATGGAGCTTCCAGACTGAGATGGACTGGAAAAAAGATGGACCGAGAAGAAAGGTCCAAACACCACGTATGAAAACCCTGTGGGTCCCAATGATCTGATCTGTCGGCGATCATGCAGCTGGTGCTGGAGTGGACAGCATTTTGTCCCATTGTGCAGGAAGTTTCCGTGTATTAGCAGCTGACGACAACACGTGGCATATGGAGTGGTACAAAGAGATCATGGCGGGGATGATAACCAAAATGTTGGCGACTCCACCCAGGGGCTCCATCAATCAAGTTGTGAAAAACCAGCCACTGTAAACCTTACAGAGCACAGTCCTATCCGACACATACAGGGTCACCAAGACTCAGAACTGACTTGATGGCAACTGGTTTGAAGTGGCATGTGCTCTGAGCGAGATGAAGAGAATCCAGCACCAAGCAGCTGTTCTCAAGCTGAGCATCGAAGGAGGAAATAAGAGCCTCATACTGCTACAGAGACAACAAGGAGCTTTCCAGGTGGCCAGTGACAGGCGGAGGGGGGCAGCAACATACATTCAGCAGACAACTCAGAACTACACCCTGAACCTGAGAACACACCTCAAATTGACCAGACTCGATCAAAGTTATCTACCCACACACTATCTGCCAGTCAGGAAAACACTAACTCATCTCTGGAGGAAAACGCAACCATCCCAAACCTCTCTAATGTTTTATACACAAGCCTGGCCTTCAATCAAAAGCTACCATGCCTGCCAGCAAATAAGAATAAAGACCAAAAAGAAAAGAATTAATTTAGAAAGCAATAAAAACCACCCATCCCATTGACACTGGAGTTGCCAGACTTGCACTTAAAAAGAATGATTAAACATGCATCATCTCCATCACCAATAAATTAAATGCTTAAAATTTGGAAGAGAAAGTCACCTACATAAATAAATGACTTTTAAACTTTTGAGAAGATAGACAATTTCAATCATAATAAGAGAAATGCAAATTATAATTATACTGAGATAGCATTTCTCAAGGATTAGATTAGCAAGAATTACAAAACTTGGATATACATTCTCCTACTGTAACATCACATTAAATGGCTTAGAAGGAACTAATATACAACTATGATACACACACCAGTGTGTGTGTTCACATAGGCATAGAGTGGAGAAAGCAAACAGGGAATGTGGTGTATCTAGGTAGAAGATATATAGTAATTTTTTCTACTATTCTTCCAACCTTTCTGAAAATTTTGAAATTATTTTCAAAATGACTAACCCCATAACGTTGTCCTTTTTACGTTCAAGAAAATATATTAAAATTTTAATACCTTCACCAGAACACTAGATTCTATGAGATGCAATGGCATGAAACTGAACTATGTCGCCCCCAAAATATGTACACTAAGCAAGGTTATGAGTCTCAATATTGTGTGGCTGTCTTCTATTTTGTGAGCTAATGTAATTATTCTCCATTTAAGTGCTATAAAGCCTAACCTCTGTATGTTAATGAGGCAGGATTAGGGTGCACTGTCTTGACTTCCAGCAATCCAAGAGGAAGCCCCACCCTTAGCACACATCACCCCTTTACTCAATGAATCACCACCATACAAGTCAACAGGAGAAAGAGGAGGGGTCATGCTTGGAAAGAGTTAGAGTCCCTACCCTTTCCTGTAGGGTTGCTATGAGTCTGCAGCTGCTCTATGGCAGAGAGAGAGAGAGAGGGAGAGAAGCTACACCTTTGCGGAGTCACCCTTCTTAAAGACAAACCACTTTTCACTGTGAAGGGTTGGAATAGACTTAATGGCAGGGAGTTTGGTGTGGGTTTGGGTTTCCAAAGCAGATCATAGTTTTACACTCAAGAATTCATATATAGTCTGTTGCCACTCATGCACTACAATCCTCTCAATGTACCATCCCTTATCCCTCTTCCTCCCTGTGTTCCCTGTTTCCATGTTTCCTTCTTTCCTAACCTGCTGGATTCTCTCCATAGCTGTCCTTCTGATCTTGAAGAGTGGGTTATTCTAACTCAGAGGTGAGTTTAGTTCCAGACCTAAAGGGCAAGGACCACACTCTTGAAGGTTCTACCAGACTCCATCCAATCAGTAAGCCTGA